GACCAACTAGACGAAGCCAGTCCAACCTTTAACTGATATATATATAGCAAGTGGACGGGTTGTGGACTTATCACGTGAACCGAACTATTGCATGTGACAGCAACACTTAGTGACAATTAACCAGGAGCATCTTCGTCTTCATCTGGAACATTCACGCTGGTGTATTGATCACAAATCTTTTCGACTAAACAGTGATATATCTACGTCTTGTCCTGGTCCCTGTTCCGTGAAGTGATAGCAGTGCTAAGGTGATCGAAACTCCCATACGTTAACACAGACGTATGACAATCATGATTTGCTGTGTGGACTGGGGCCCTGGAACATGTTCCGTGATGCAGTGATATAAAAACACTGACCCCCACTATTCTATATTGTAATATCAATGCCATCTAAAGCTGACCTTTCAGTAGATCAATTAAATGATGTTCTGCTGTTGGTTTTCAAAATGTTAGCCTTGACATTTGACCTCCACACCTTTTAACACGACAAAGATTTTACTGGAACAAGCATATGAAAGAATCCACTTCTGGCAAGTTATGTTAATTAACTCCTGATCAAATACATCAACTGCAGATATTTATATACTTAATGTTAAAAATTCATAGTTTGTCATGAAAAAGCTGGAAATTATTAAAATGAATTTTGGTATTTGAGATATGGTTTGTGTATGAAAAGGCTGTATGGATGGTTGGGCAGGCAAGAATTACCAATTACCATGACAACATCTCACTGACATCAGTAAAACATAAAGCATTTACATTTCACTAACTTCAACCAGTTTGCTTTGACAGAAAAGATTAGAATGGTTAAGCTCATTAGAATTTACTTAGCCTCTCATGTATCCTTGACAAAAATAACCACATTACATGTTAATGCCATAAACAGGTAATTTTCTTTTGACTTCTTAGACTAATTGTGCATATAGACAAATGTAAATGGAATGTAGCATGGGATAATTTGTTTGTAACCAAAACATATTTCAAATTAACTGCGGTCTGAAAATCAAACAGGAGCATTATATCTTCTTATTGAAAGTGTCAAAATATAGAATCTTGTTTTGTGCAGTTTCCAGCTGTAACTGTGGAACTGTGAACCCTTCTGAGAAGCAAAGTTTTAAGCATAGATAAAGAAGGTAAATTGAAACTTGTCTCTCTTGCCGCATGTGCAAGCTCTGTCACCTGTAATATTTATTTGCTCGTTACATTACACAGTTATAGAGGTTATCTCCCAAAAAGAATTCTTCTCTGTTTTTATACAGCAGTTAAGAACACGGATGTCTTTGGAGACCCTAGCTCTGCACAAGACTGGGAGAGTATCAAGATGGGCAGTGTACTGAACCTGTACTGCACATTGCTGAATGTGTTGTGATTCAGTGGGACTTTTGGGTCCAGGGAAAACAATAATTTGTCCCACAAACAAGATGCTAATACGACATTTGTCTTGAGAATTACTTACATTAACTAGAAAAGTGTGTGCAAGTATTTGTAAAACAGAGAAAGAACACCTTTATCACCATTCCTAGAAGCCCTCAAAACCATTACATGCCACCAAACATTGTCAGTGTGATACCATTAACTATAATTGGATGAAATACCTAGCAGAATATAACAGATTTCTTCTCCCTCACAAAATGAAGTACGTGAAGGTATCTCAAAACCACTGATTACACAACCAGTCTAATGACATCATTTCTCGTATGGAGACATATACAAATGCAGTACAATTCAAAACCAGCTGAACATTCTATGCTACAACATGAATAGGAAAATCATATACACATTCTGAATATGCATGCCATATGCATGTTGTATGCAGTGTGACCAATAAACATTAATACATTAATATACTATGATAGCTGTTTGCACTATTTCACTTTAACAACTTCTTACGTATTTGGGAAAGTTTTATCCCGTCAATGTCCAACCTAGAGCATATCAAGAGAGAGTTCTTTATTTCTGAACTGTAGGCCAGAGGCCCATAGTACAAGTACAAAACAGTTACAATGGGTGTGTGGTACAAGCGCGTTTGCGTTTTAACAGTCCATGGTGTATAAACGTAGCAATATTCTGAAGTAGCTGTATATTTTCTGTTGACATTAGTATGCTGAATTTGTAAAATGTGGGACAGGACGTGTACTTAGATGGTATATAATACTTTATTAGGTCTTCATACTGTGGACAGATGAGAAGGACATGGTATTCATCTTCAGTAATATCCCTGTCACACATTTTGCAGGATTGGCTCTCAGTAACATGACATATTCTTTTAAAATACATTAAATCATAGTAGCCACATCGAAACTGCGATAACGACACTCTTAATTTCCTTATACTTACGTCTGTTAAATACTTTTCACACATAAAATGTTGTTTAAACAATGAATACGAATAAGAACATTTTCCAGTTTGAATATTTCTGGTCCACTCTTGCTGGAAGCAATCCTTACATCGTTGTTGAACAATGGATAAAAAAGCTGTAGCATCCCCAATTCCCTGACCGAGCCATGCATATCCAAGACCAAGTTGGAACAATGGAACCTAAAGCATATCAACCAAAATTCACACACTACAGTACACCTTAAGAGTGATTTCCCCGTCAATATCAGTTGTATGTAGTTCAAGAACATCTGCATGATGGTCCTTGGTGTCAATATAACAAAAACATAACACAGGCTTTTCAGTGTCACCATGACCTACTACTAATATCATATGATTGTCATATCTTCAAAAGTTGGCATGTGTAACAATCAAAATCTGATCTTCAAGGCATACTGATTGTTATTTCTTGTCTGAGACAATGACAAAATTACAGTGAAGTGTTATGACAACTAAATGTTGGACCTGAATGTTTTATAGATGCACTGTGTTTCACAGAAAGCCACTGTTTTCTAGCAGAGGAAATGTTGGTCCGATACATGGCATTGTATCAGAGTATTTTTGAATGAATAAGCAACAAATAACATATATTGTGGGTCAACATCTATATGTAATAACTTGTCCGGCTGCACATTTACCTGGTAACCAGTATACAAAGTCACAGGTTGGCATGCCACTTCTATCATTTGAAAAGTGACTTATTGCCCTTTGGGAAAATGGTAGAAATTCCTGAACAAGAAGATTCAATGTGAGACTCTTGGATTCTTCATTATTAAAGAAGGTCAGCATCAAAAATGATGTCAGAACTAGAATTGTTCAGGAATCAAAACCTCAGGCCCCAACATACATGAAACAATGTGGACTAACGGAAAGGTTGTCGAGTCGCTTTGAGCCATTAGAGTTGCTGATTTTCATGAGTATGGTTTTAATGCAGTATTTGTGACCAGATTGAAAATCCATTGTCTTACAAAGCTAGTGGCATACGTAAAACTGGTAGAACTGAGTGAGGGGTAACCAATATGTTCAATGTGTCTCAGTCTACGATATGCAGACTTTGGAACAGGACCCTGCTGACACAAAATGTTGGCAGACCCCCAGGGTCAGCAATACAAGTAGATTCAATCAAGACCCATGTCTTAAATTGAGACCAAACCACCAATAAAACCAGCTCATTTGCAATAGGACACAAAAATTCCAGTAACTGATCCTGCAATTAGAAGTTGTCTGTATGCAGCTTATCATTACACTCAGCAACCCATGTGTTGTACCACCATCAACACATCAACACATTCATGCAAGATGCCTGTGATGGTAGAGCACAAACACTGGGGAAATCACTGGTTGTATTTGGTAGCATATTCAGATGTCATGCAAATGTCAGTGTAATGCCAAGAGACATATCTTATGATTTGTCAGTCATAAAATGGGGTGGATCACCATGACTGCAGAACTGTTCATGGAAGGGTCACTGGACAGTACTTCCAAGATATACTGCCACCGACAGTGAAGTCCATGTTTTGTGTTACAAGATGGTAACGCTCATGCATGTATCAAAACTGACAACCTCCAACAGCAAACCTTCTCCAGAATGCACTGGTCAGCCATAGATAATGATCTTCCCCAACAGAGCACGTCTGTGACTTGATCCGGAGACGATGTTGGATGCCACCTGCTACATTAGCCAAACTGGGCCAGGCACAGATGGAGTGGACAACACTCCTTCAAATTGTCATTGGGAGACCAATTTGGAACATGGATGAATTAATGTCTGACCAATCAGGAGCCTGACACATCATTGACCAACATCTCAAATGTTCATTTCTTGATTATACATCCTTGTCTTTCTTGATTGTTCCGATCGCTACAGTGTACCATGAACATATTCTGTTGATTGCCACCTTACACGAAGTCTTTCGATTTTCTTATCACTCATCAAAATCCCTTGACACCTCTTTGTACTTCTACCATCATTTGTCACTTTCGAATATCCCTACTATTTTTGATTGTACAATGTTCTGAGGTTAGAAATCATTGTGATTGCAACAGTGTTTCCGAGTAAGAGTGATTGATTGATTGATTGAGTGAGTGAGTGGGTTTGTTTTTACGCTGCTTTTAGCAATATTCCAGCAATATCATGGGGGGTTGGGGCTGTGTGTGTGTGGTGTTTGTGTGTTTTAGTACACCAGAAATGGGTTTCACACTTTGTGCAAATATGGGGAATCGAATCCGGGTCTTCGGCGTGACGAGCGAAAGCTAAGTTAATCAATAGGCTACCCCACCACCCCTCCAAGTAAGAAACTGACAATATGTATATTGAAATACTGTGTACATATAAATTTGTACCATTCCCAATCAACTTGCAGATGTAAAAGTATCCAGTCTACAGTAAGACGAACAAGTCCTCTACGTAGTGTAAGTCTTTGATAGGTGACCTTTGATTATTATCAACATGAACAAATGAATCTTCTGCAACAAAAATTGTCAGTAATATAATAGCCCAAAGACTGAACCCAAACTATAGCCTTTGTAGCTTTTGCCTTGACAAACCAAATATAGCGACACACATATCCTTCCACTATGGCATTACACAAAACCCTGAACCAAACGACATTGAGCATCACACACCTGTGCCTTGCTGGGATGTGGCGCTCCCTGGAACTCTATGGTGCCATATGCATCAGTTGGTTTGGGCTCTGAGTGCTTGATTGGGTGCCACCGCTCATCATGCTTTGGAGTGTCATCTTCAGGGGGTCGAGGCAGGTTCCCATGCCATGCCTCACCACGCCCACAGCAGCATCTGTCAACAAGAGAACATCATCAGCATACACTCCAGCATCTCTTAACTCCAGTCATGACATTGTACATTAAAGAAATTTCAGAATGTTGATGATTTCTCAATGCAGTAAAAGATGTTTTTCATCTAATAATCCACATGTGATAAATTGTCTCATTTTGGTATATTTTAGATTGTTGCAATATTCTGTTCCTAGATGTGGTATGATGTCACGCTATAGAGCATGAAGGCCATCTGACCTCGTTTACCAAGTCACCTCAGTAGAATCAATAGCAACATGGCCTTAAAAATATAAGCCCTTTCGCCAGAACGAAAACATTTAACGATTCAAACAGAACATGTACAAGTACAATCGAGCATGTTCTTTCTGCTAAGGTTTCGCAGATTGCCACACAAATGTTTCTTTGAGGATGTTTGATCAGGGCTACAACATTTCAACGCCTCAGTAAAGCTTTTACGGCAGTCATGTTGAGGAGATTTCTGCATCTGCCTCATCAATTATGTCCAATGTGATGTCCTAATTTGACTTATACCATATGTTCACATGATTTTTGGGTGTTGGTTAACTGACATGCGGTTGCATATGTTTGTGACAGGTGAGACATGAGGGACAGGATACGCTTTTAGCAATATTCACGCTGTACAGTACATCTCCAACAGGTACAAGTCTGGCACTGCTTGTTCTTGTAATACAGGTAACCCTGAAAGAGCACCTGAATACTGCCTCATGAACTGGTGATATATTCCATTTGCTGAAGGCCTGGCATAATGGTGATCAAAAAGAGCAGTCAAAGGTTAATAAATACATTTTTATTAATTAAGAAATACAGTTCGCTCTACCACCATGTAGTGTGTAATAAAGCACACTTTCGCCCTGAACTATTATAGTTAAAGTACGAGACGCTTGCGTCCGAGTGCTTTATCGTTATAATAGTTCAGGGAGAAAGTGTGCTTTATTACACTATACATGGTGGTAGAAGCGAACTGTATTTCTTTCTAAGATGCCAAATTTAATATTTCTAAGGATAATTACGATTAATTTAAGGCAGAAAACAAACGGCGGTGTCGGGTGACCTAAATTAAGAATCCTCGCACAGGGCTAACTGGCGCGCTGTTCTATTGATGTGTCGGCCCCCCTACGTTAAGCAAACATTACTTGAAAAAAACAAATGATAAAAGTTTGACGACGGTTTGCGTTCGGATTAAATATCTTCTCTGAATTATTTTAATTACATCTGTCATTAACGTAAACCAAATGGGGCAATATGAACGTCGCATTTCTACTACCAACGTAAGTTTAGATCAGTACATCCAGATGAAGCTGAGTAGTCAAGCCGCATTCCACGATTGCATTGTGGGAATGTAAACATTGCGAATGTTACCGTGAGGCTGAAAACTTGTGAGTCGAATTGACACATTTTAACCGTCGTAAAACATAAACGTAATGTTTCCACCAGTGATGTTAGCTGCGTGATGCAAACCAAGAAACGGGATGCAACTGAGAAGTTTACTGTAAGAGGCCGTATGAGGCGATGACAACTGACATGCATCGTGACGTCGCTTACATTGTGACGTTATGTAAAATGGTTCGATTACGAGGGGGCACACTAGAATGGCGCAGTGACAGGATAACGTCATTCAATTGTTACGTCATCAAAAAACTATACCTTTATTGTCTGATAATGTTTTGGTTTTTTTATTGTTCTAACCGCTTGGCATCTTAGAATTACAGTTAAAACAGTTATTGTTACATTTTTCTGAGTATGTAAATTACTTTCTCTTTCAAATGATCATGAAGTTCATACAAAACGTGTTTATTTTGTAAAGACATTTACCCGTGTAGGTTGATAAATTTACCTTATCAGGTTTCATTCAGTTACCTCAAGATTCAGTTACGTAGCTAATCCCTAATTAGCTAGGGTTAATCCATTCTATCAGATAGGGGAGTATGGTTTGTTTTAACCACTTAGTGAGGCTACCCCAACGCCCCCCTATGTAGCCAAGAGATGATGACAAACACGGTCAAGGGGATGACCAATTAAGGTTATAAATGTTGTCCGCAGCATTGTCAGAATAATACACTGTGGACTCCGCCTCTCGTCAAGATTTCTTATGGTTATGGAGAGGGTTATTCACATCCATTCATTCAAACCTACAAATGACTCACAGTCTGATTTCTGTGATGAACAAAACCTCAAAACAAGGTGACATCCCTACAGCATAACAGATGGGTCTTGACAATAAAGTGTCTGAAATACACTTGCCATCTTTCACTAAACTATCCCCAAAAAGACTAGCACAGTTATCAGAGATACTGAACAGATACCTCAATGAAGATGTTTCTTTCACATAATCAAATCCATTGATTATGTCAGAGTACAGACAGCCGAATTTCGGCCCACACTTTAACATTCAAATTACAGTAGTCATCTGTCAAATTACACTAATTACATCTTCAGTGCACAAAGTTTTCGTACAGCCTTTGTACAATAACAGCAGCATAGATGGACCATTGATTTCAGAAACTGACACACAATTAATCATGACGTGGATACAAGTAATCATAAATTCAATACTTGTTCTTATCAAGAATTAAGGTCAAATGGTTATCCAAATTAGCTGGATAATTCATAAAATGCCCTTTGCAAGAAGACTGAAAGGTTGTCTGTTGGTATCTAATTGTGACAGTCTTAATGGTCAACAGCTCCTTTTTCAGATTCTCTGTAGTTTCTGTGATATAGACAAGTCTGATCCTTCTAACCCAGTATATAATACCTCCATTCTCACATCATTAATATCCTGGATCCATTCACTTAATTTTGAACATGATTTCAGTCACATTATGCTAAAAATAGATCACCAATCAAAGTACACCAACCAGAGAGAGAACACATAAATTTCATGCACCAATCAAAACACAGCAGAGTGAAAATTCTTGATTTCACTCTTTATTGCCGTTAAACCTTCAAACACCCAAATGCTGTCAAGCCTGTTTTAGACAGCTGGAGACCTGATTCTTATTACCTGACTGTTTGATAGGCCTTCAGAATTTTTGTTTCTTTGTTTTTAGGTTGCCTTTGTCTTGTGTTAGCTTCTGATCATATTGTTGGCTTTAGTCCTACTTCAACTTTTGGCCAAGTCAAACATTTCAAGAAGGGTTTGCCTAGGATATGCTGAAGTCAATACTGTACATTCAGTGTAGTTTCTCTGATGTAGAAGCAGCTAGATTTGAAGGCTGCTTGGCCACAGCTGGAGTCACATTGTTCAGTGTCTCGTTATTTGGTTATTGTCATCAAAGCCACCTCAATCAAGACAGGTCTAAAAGGTACAATTAGATTTTGAAGACTGATGGTGCAGAATGAGATACCCGCATGCAGTGTTTGCTATGGGCTCAGTAAACCACTATGCTGCCTACCATGCATATAACAGATTAGACTAAGTCCCTGAATATATATATATTAAAATCAAAATTATATATATATAAACTTTTGATAGTAACAAATATACCCATTTAAATTGAAAAGGAGCCCAGTGAGAGATTACCTGGGAAAATTTAGTCTTGCTTCATTTAGAGCTTTACCATTGCAGGGAGGGCTAGGCAGTAGAGAAAATACAGTGTTCAGGGACTGTGAGACACACTAATAACAGATGTACAACAGGCAAAACAAGGTGGCCACTTGACTTGCAAATGTGAACACAACTCCTTTTCATTTCACCAGTTTTATGGTCTACTCAATGTCAATTGTCTGAAGATAATTTTTATTCTTCTTCCTCATGCAAACTTTACTAATACACCAGATTTTCTTGATAAGATGAGAGGACTGCATGTTACCTTTCTTTCCCAACTATTTTGATTCCTAAATTTCACTTAACAGCCGCAACAGTTCATGAGATTGTGTGATCCTGAACTTAATGTTTTTTAATTCAGGTGCAGAGATTAATACCATGTCCACAATTATCACCTCTTACAACAAACATAGGGGTGGTGGGGTAGCCCAGTGGTTAAAGCATTCACTCATCATGCTGAAGATCCGGGTTCAATTCCCCACATGGGTGCAATGTGTGAAGTCCATTTCTGTTGTCCCTACCATGACATTGCTGGAATATTGCTAAAAGTGGTGTAAAACCATACTCACTGACTACAACAAACCTAAGTTGCTGGGTACCCTATCTAGCCAGTGTCTCGATCCACATAGCCTTCACTGCTTTTCGACCTATCATATATCTATAGTGTACAGTTGGCTTATGAATATTGTAGCATTATGACTATCCTGGATTGGGTCCCTGGAATCCTACGTACCTAAGTCCTGTCATCTCAATAACTGATGGTTAAGTCCAACTGAATGATAATATGATCACGTTTCCATGTCAACTGTTTATATAATATATAATAACTTTCTAATTTTTTTTACAACAAATATCATGCACTAAATGTATGACTCATAATCATTGTCATTCAGTCCTTTTATTGCTATGAGGCAACTACGTATACACTGTTTACACACTCAACAGGAAGCAGTCTTGAAAGTCTGTTGGTGATGGCTGTGCAGTTGTGAAAGCTGCAATTCCAATCAACTTTAGAGAAAACCTGATTGAACCCTCAATGGTTGTTGACATGAGAAAATGCCTCTCAATCCATGGAAACTTCCATGGATGTAAAGCTAATTTTTTTAGCCATTTGAGGTCTTCTCTCCTTTAATGGCTCAACATTCAAATAACAAATGACAAAGGTGATCATAATTCTTTGAGCTTTACAATTACTCGTCTTTGACAATTTGTACACAAATCTTTTTTGGTGACAAACATGCCAGGATAATTCAGAGTCTGAGATTCTATTTGAAAAATCTTTATCATCTTCATGTATTGTTATTTTACAATCTATAATAGCAATTGGAAATACACATTCCATTTTATCAAAATAGACGTCTTGATAAAGTTATTATTTCTGGCTACCAATTTCTTTTCATGGAATATTTGATCATAACACAATAGTCCTTCAAACA